CTGGGCAGAGCCGGGGGGTGAGGGGGGCTGCCGGCCTCGCCCCCCCCGTCGTGGTCAGCTCGTCTCCGTGGGGCGTGCGACGCTTTGTTTTTGCTTCGCGTACTTCGCTTAGGTGGTTTATTCTGTTGCGAGTTCGGAAATGGTGAAAGAAGAGGTGGGGACAGCTCTTTCTCGGGTTTTGTAAATAGCGACCGGGTTTATATATTGTAGGTCACCTACCGTGCTGTAGTCGGAGGCGATTCGTTGGCTTAGGTCTTGGCCAGGTTTCTACACTTGCAAAATAAGAAAAGCGTTGATTAGGAACACGGTATTCTAGCAAAATGACATGAATACATAACTGACTTAATTGATAACTGTATCTTTAGGGCAGAGATTAATTAGAAAGACACTTCAAAATCTTACTCGTTCTGGCTTCGTGTTTCTAATATTTTTAGATAACGAGATGCCTGATTTGTAGATCTGCAGAGCAGTTGTCTGTAATCACAAGAAGGAACTTCTTGACTCGTTATTGAATTCTGTGTTCTAAGCATATTGAAGCATATTTTAATGACCAAGGTGGCATCACCTAGTGTAATGCTACCGCCTGGCTTTTTGAAGGCTGCTAAAGCAATGATGGGGCTCTTTCTCTTTTTTTTTTTTTTTTTTTCTGTTAATGATTGCCATTAGCGTATATGATTTAAATGTAACAGCAGTACTCACGTACTGCACATGGAATCAGAATATAGAATCAGAAAATAAAAACAGAAAAAAGTGAAAGTTTGTTTTTTTATAGTTTGCTTTGAACAGCAAAATGGTGAGCAAATGTCATTCATGATATAAAATACTTCCACAATTATACATAAAAATACATAAAATGAAGACTATTAAAATTTAATTTTAGTGTCCTTGCTGTTGGCAGAAGGTTTAGTAACAATTACTCTGGGAAGTAATTGTCTCTTTCACTTCCACTTCTGTATTTGCACTTCACTTAAATAGGAAACTTATGCCCAAAGGGTGTGCATTGGAAGCCAAAAAGGAACCTTCGAGATTTAGACAGCATTTTTAATTAAGAAACAAAAACCCCATCAAAACTTAAACCAATACTTTTTTGAATGCACAATTGATTTCAAGCTCTTTTGGAAAATAGCTTTATTTTAATTGATTATGAATTCCAAAGCTTCAGCGAAACACGATAGAGGATATTATAACCCTGGGATTATAGATACAATTGAAAGTAACACATTCAGCATTTACTGGCAGCAGAGAGAAAGCTGATCCATCTGGTGATTCTGAGCAGAAGACCTTGTATTTTGTAAGTCACTGGCACAATTATTTTTGTGAACACATGGTTTAAGAGGACCTTTTTGTGAAATTACAGCAGATGTGGAGAACTCTAGCAGTTCCATTTAGATATGCATTTTATATAATGCAGAACCATGTGGGTAAAATGCAGGGAATTTAAATTGTCAGTTCCTGAAACTCGCACAACAATGCAGTATCACTTCTGCATCATGTTGCAGTTAAAGTTTGGCAGCCTTTCTGTTTCCGAAGGATGATGATGGTGGAACTGGACAATTCCGGTAATAAGAAATTCTAACAGCAATTTGAGCTTAGATTCCCTTCACGTTCTAATCAAAGAAAACATGCTATCATATGTAATTAAAAAAGAGAATAAAGTTACCCCCCAAAGTCTTGTGAAAGAGCCTCATTTACTGTTTGTCAAATTACTATGATATGCCAGCAGTGCCTTATTAATGGAAACGGATTTTTAAAAAGGTCTGTGTTTGACAAAAGAGGGATTGCATACAAAATTGTGAAATAAGTTTGCAGGAGCTCAGAATACGATCTTCTGAATGTTTTTGACATACAAGAATCAAAATAATACTGTATACAGGCACTTAAGGCATATAAGCAATTTGCTGCTTCCTCTGTTTATGAAGAACTTACCACGATAATGTCAGAAAACCCTCACTTGTGTGCTACTCTTAATGCAGTATATCTATATATATGTGCTTATATGTGTATCTATTTGCGTATACACACGTACCTACATATGTGTCTCATTTAATTGGGAGTTTGGGGAAATATTGTAGCCTCGTATTCAGGTCTGAGTCCATTTAATGCAGCTTCTGTTCTCTTGAGACGTGTGGGCTTGTGCAGTTACTCTTTCATCTCTTTCTCCATTTGGCTTCTCTGGTAGACATGCAATTGGATTTATTCTGGGATTAATAGCATCTCTTCAGATGCATAGCTAGTGATTATTTTAAAACTTAATTCACGATACAAATACTTGTTAAAATAACATTTTTATAAGAGGAGTGGAAAATAAGGAAATTTGGGTACATTCATAAATAAGCAAAATATACTTCTGTATTTAACGTTGAAGAGCATAGTAGCAGCAATGGGGACAAGCATGCTAAGTCTATTTAAATAAACATCTTTTGTAGTCTGTCTGCCCCCAGGGTGTTGTTCAGTATGACACAACTATTGTAAAAATGGACCAATTCCATCATCATTGCAATAAGTCACAGGCTTTTCTCTTAATTCAGCCTGCATAATACTTTGTGTTTCCAAAGTATTTTTTAATTGTTTTATAAGAACATCATATTTACCTTGACCAAAGTTTAGGAAAATGTTTCTTTTCAATGTTAAATCTCATTTTCCTTAAAACAAAAGCATGACACATACAATGTCTAATAGATACTTCGTGGTAACCAAGTACCAGTCAAAGACATTGTTCATTCTAAAAAGAAACTTTTTTGACTCCAAAATACAACTGATTATAATAATTATATCCTGAGCACAGTCAGCTTCAGGTATTTTTGAGGTATTAAGGCTTTCCTAGTAACTTCTTTAGTGAAACCTTTTCTTTTCTGAAAGCGAGCTGTAGAAATAAGTATGGTTCCTTTGAAAAATTACTTAATAAATGCCTGACCAGGAAAAGGTGCACTTACGCTGGCTTAGATTTGCTGAGAT